GTGGTTAGGGGGCTCGACTCACAATCTGAAGGTCGCTGGTTCGAATCCCCGTCACACCAAACATGCTCGCCCTTTCAGCCGGTAAATCCCACTATTCATTGGTAAAAGAGTAGCCCAAGAGTTGGCGGTGGGTGGTGATGACTAGCTGCCTTCCCTCTAGTCTTACACTGCTAAATTAGGGACGGCTAGCGCAGATAGCCCTCGTGTAGCTTTGCGCGAAATTCCAAAAAACAAGAAACAAATTTATGGAAAGTCGCCCCAAAAGAATGGAGCATGATAACATGTTATTTCAGTAGTACATACATGTACGTATATGATAACCAATAGTATATAGTACAGTACTTTACTATAACATAACATACGTATGCTAATTTAAGTTTAGCTCCCCATGCAGTGTTAGAACGGAATGATGATTGGGTGACTTTTCCTTGGATATTTGTGGGTTTTGTGTGAACAGCCATACAATAGTTTAAGCTATAGTTCATGTAAAATTGATTCCAGATTTAATCTCATAGCGCCTATCTTTTACAAATTTTCTGGGAGCATGACCTCAAACCCCCATAACATTAGCATGCTTTGCACGTTAGTTGTGCTTTCAACAATATGTGTTGGCATTTGCTCTCACAACTTAGAACCTCCCTGAATAAAAAAAAAACACAATAAAACACAAAAGCAACTGTGTTAGTGGATGTATGTAAATGGTAAGATATATATGAAAAACCTTAAACACCCACGTAAAGCGCGCACTTTTTTTTCAAATTTTTTTTGGCTAAAACATGAAGTGCGCACCATACGGAGAGAGCAGTATTCTTCCAGTATTTTTCATGTGAAATTTTCAGTCCGAATATTGCCTCAACACATCATATATCCCGACGTAATCATAGTTTGTCGCTGTCGGATTACTGGAAGTCAGAAAATGAACCACAACCAAGACGAATAATCAAAAGTCTGAACTCCTGACATTTATCTTTTAGGCTTCAAGTCATGCATTTATAACTGGTTCATTTTATTTGTTTGTTTTAGAGCAAAGCCACATTGGACTATCTGCTATGTCCACGCAGGGAATCGAACCCCTGATTTTAGGGTTGTAAGTCAGTAAATTTACCGCTGCCCCATCGGGAACATGTCCATTTTGTCAACTATAAGAACTGCACGGTTTATATGCTGATAACTGCTAATAATGATTAGTCAAAATGTAATAGGGCAAAACGTTTTCGATTTTTGTGAGCTTTTTGAGCTGGGTCGTAAAATTACTTTACTATTCCATGTTACAGTATATTCACACTAGCATTAGTTCGTAGTCACTCCCCTACGCCTTATGTGCAGGGCACTGTTTAAAAAGACTTATGCATAAATTAAAAGCCCGCGGTTTTCCTTCTCAGTTTGAGACTGCATCTGCCACGGCTTCCCGCACCTCGAACAACTTGCTTCACTTAACATATTTAGAATCTGAGGTTCGCGGGTTCGAATCCCCGTCCTACCAAACATGCTCGCCCTTTCAGCCGTGGGGGTGTTATAATATGACGGTCAGTTTTACTGTTCGTTGGTAAAAGAGTAGCCCAAGAGTTGGCGGTGGGTGGTGATGACTAGCTGCCTTCCCTCTAGTCTTATAATGTTAAATTAGGGACGGCTAGCGCAGATAGCTCTCGTGTAGCTTTGCGCGAAATTCAAATCAAACAAACAATAACATATTTAGACCACAGGCTAGCTCTCATTTAAATTCGTGTGGCCTTTACAACTCTTCTTTCGCGGGGTGAAGAGAAACAAAAGCTTCTGAACATGCCGAGTTGTCTTTCAAGTCCCAAAGATCTTTTCGAGGCTTGAAAAACATTAAGACCTAAATTCCTGCCACAAAATTTGGAGTTTGGATGCAGGTGATCATAAGTTCAGCCTTTGTTCATTAAGTAATACGGTTAATTAGTTGACAATGGTATACACTCATATATGTGCCTACAATTTGTAACTGATTCAACAACACATCACTCGATACACAATTGTACAATCAGCTTTTAGCACTGCTC